TGTCTGGTGATGTTCTGCCAGAGCTTTTTGCAGTGATAGGGAGAAGATTAGTAGACACTTTTGGTGTGGGGGTTAGAGACAAATGGCTTTGCTCTCTGCCTGGCTGGCCTCAACCTCTGAAGAAGCAGATGTACGTGAGGCTTGGATGAAAACAGCTCTCTCCAACCTGAGCCCTGGGGATCCTCAATCCCTGATGAGCATGCCTGCCTCCCCTGAGCACCAGGCTTTTGGCAGGCTTTGACCCAAAGGCACGGGGGAAAAGCATCTGGGCTCTGTTTACTCTCTGGGATGGAGGATGCGTGCGAGGAGGGGGTGTGCCCGTGCACATGTGCCGAGTGCAGGGTGAGCACTGCCACCACCACCTGTGCCCCAGAGCTGATGTGCCCCCGAGCTGATGTGCCAGCCCATGGCAGAGGCAGGATGCTGTGCAGGGAGATCAAAGAGGAAAGCTGAAATGAAAAGATGACTACCAGCAGTGGGGAAAAAGCCTTGAATTCCAGCATGAAGTTTGCTCCTTTGTTCAAAGCAGTGCACCACTTAGGACATGCATAAACCATATGTTAAAGGTGTTAGAGGGATGAATGTGGAGCACATGTGTTTGCCTGAGCCTTTACCTCGGGGTGGACTGACTGGACAAAAGGATAAGCACTCTGGGAGCTCCCATAAGACATCAGACACTTTGCTTAGTTTGGTCAGTTTAGACTGTCTGTGCACAGGAAATAGGAAAATTTTCTTCTACTGATTCAACCCCTAGAGCTAAATAACACCTCCCATAACCCAGTGACCATTAATTGTTTGAGGTAAAACTTAAAATGTACTAATATCTCTTGTAAAAGATAAGCAGGCTCTGTTACCAATTTATGGGGGAAGTGATTAAAGAAATCCCTAAATGATTGTTCTGCTGACCTCAATATATCTTGTGGGAAGAACTTCCTAAAGCCCAAGAACTAAGGCTGCAGAACAGGAGACATTAACCAGGCGATTTATTTCGCTTTCAGAACACAACATTGCTCACTGGGATTTTGTTTGTTGGTCTTTCCTTTTTTCCCCTACTATAGTAAACTAAATCAATATTATCTTTCTAATTCAGGACAATAAAAAAACCCCACACATAGAAGGAAATAAAGCTGGTGATGCCTTATTGTTGCAATGTCGTAAGCAGGGAGTATTACTGTTGCTGGAAGAGCTATTCTGTGTTGCTGCCTTCAGTTCACAAGACTAGATAGAAGTTCCAAGGACAGTTGGGTGCTTGGTACAGCTATAGCATATATTCATTCAAGGAATTTGGGGCACTTTCTGAGAAGACAAGAGAAGGAACATTTCCCATCAGGATTAATGGAGAAGACTGGTTTCACTTGCTACATTCATTATAGAAAATTAGCAATGACAAATCATGCGTGGCTGCGAGAGGCAGGGTGTTCTCTTCACCTTTTCTCTCTCATTTAACAAAAACCAAGCAGCACTACAGCGATCAGCACTACCATCCATGACAAGCAGTGCCTGATGGCTTGGTGCTGGCTGGATTTCTTTGGGCTCTCCTCTGCTGCAGAGGATGCTGAACAGAGCTGCCAGTGGTTGTGCTGCCTCCCTGGCTGGAGCACTGTCCATGTGCTGCGGCACTGCCTCCGCTCCTCGGCCACTGAGTCTGGTGGCCTGTCCTCCCTGGTACTGCACCACAGCATGTGTCCCTAGCTCCTGAGCCTGTTTAACCTGAGGGAAGGAATTTGACTCATAACCCTGGGCTTCTCCCTATTCAGGCTGTGAAGCACTTTGTAATAGCTTCAGTCTTTGCTTCCTGGGAAAGATTTACAAGAAGGCCTTCCCTAGCATTTGGTTTCACTTGCCCTTTCGAGCTAAGGTCAAGATCAGAGAGTGGGTAAATAGGCTTTCCCAACTTGCTTGGATGGACATCCAGCTGTTCTGTCCTCCAACTCCTCCTCTGACCTAAACAACATTTTATTAAGTATTTCTTCTTTCTGTGCCTCTATTTTTATTTTTTTTAAGCTATTACGGAAAACTCATATATTTAAGGTAAAACACTGTGACTATTCCTCAGCTCTACAGGTATCATGCAGGCTGTATAAAATTGAATTGTGTTTTCTGAGTCAAGTGCATTACATCTGGGATGCAGAAGGGCTTTATTCACAATTTCTGGGAAAAAAACTCTCAATGGATAATTATTCTCCCTGCTAATAAATATATATGTTTTTTTGGGTTTTTTTGTGTGATTCCTGCTAGATGAAACAACCAGTAGGCACTGCAAATCTTTCTCCATGTAAATACTACAGGGCATGAGTGGGTCACATTTTGGGCTTTAGCTGGCAAGCTCTATGTGCTGAATTTTTCTGGTCTTTCCTCCAACTTGAATTAGTTTGCCGTAACCTCCAAAGAGGTTCTTGTATGTCTTTTTCTGAAACCTCACTTGCTTTTACTTTGTGGAGGCACAGCAGAGTTGTCAGTACTCATAAAGTCTTGTCTGTATTGTGTATAGATGCAATGCCATGTTCTTGCTCTTCGGCATTGCTCATTAAGCGAGGAAAATAGCCAGGTCAACCAGTCAGCTGCTGCTCCAGGAGCTCATGTTATTGAAATTAAAGGTGTAAACTGTGATGCAGCTCTGAAGTAGAGCTGTGCCTGGCTCCCTGCTGCTGCTCCTGAGCATTGCCCTGGAGCTGCTACTATAGGGAAACATGACAGTGGGCACAAAACTCTAGGTTTTGGGATTGAGCTGATAGACAAAATCTTAAGCCTACTTTGACAAGAAAACAAAGAAGTCTTTCCTTTGGTGTTTCAAAGTCTCATTGTCAGAGAAGTAATAAATCCAAGGTCATTTTCGTCTTGTAAATTGGATTGTCACTGTGGAAAGGTCTCTTAATTTTCCATTTCTCCAGTGAGATCTATCATGTGTCTCCTACCTGTGCCTGCCTGACTAGTTTAATATCCTCTCTCTCTTGCCACTTAGTATTCCTGTATGACTGTTTATTATTATAAACTATTTATTCAGCTTTACAGGTGATTACAAGGACAAATAGTCTAACGTTGTATTGACATTATGTGTCTTTAACAATGCCCCAACAACCCCTTCCCAAAGACTCTGCTCTTCCAGATAAGGAAACAGGGAAAATGTGACTGAATACCATGCATGTGCAGAACTCAAACATTTCCTTACTCACTCAACCCTAGATGTTCTTTTCCCAAGCCTCATATCCAAATCTTCATTAGAAATTTGAGAGAAATGCTTTACTGTGGCTGCTGGCTTGGCTGCTTTTCAGATTCAGGCAGAATCTCCTTTATTCACAGGCCCTTTTTTCTTATTATTTTTTAATACTTCTCCAGAAACTTGTATTATCATTTTTAGCAGTGCAGAAAAGTATCCAATATTTTAGAGCTTCTTTGTAGCATGTTAATCTCTGAGACTAAAAAAAAAAATATCTCTTGGTCCCAGCCTCGTTTTTAATAGGATAGTAAACTAAGAGGATACATGAGGATTATTCTAATCTCACCCTGGAGCTCTCTGCAGCACTACTGCCTATCTGGGACCCATTATTGGACTGCCTTCTCCAGTGCTCTAGAAAACAGGCACTTATCTTGATTTAACAAGTAATGATAGCAAAAGCCTGAGCTGTCATGCTTTGGAAATAATGGATTAGCTAATTGATTGTGAAAAGAAATATTAGGCTGGAGCTGAACATCCTTTGGAGTGCTCTCTTCTCCTTGCTTCAGTCTTTAGTGCTTTGAGAGCATGTTTGTACACTGAGGGGGGGTATACTCAACACAATCAACTACTCCTCCTACAAAGCACATGCAAGGGACTGCTGGAAGTGAGCTACTTTTCCTTGTCTTGTGGCTGTCCTGGAGCAGTCTGTGGTGTCTGCTCTGGAAGAACAAGGGAGCTGGTGAAGGGTCTGGAGCACAAGTCCTGTGAGGAGCAGCTGAGGGAGCTGGGAGTGTTCAGTCTGGAGAAAAGGAGGCTCAGAGGGGACCTTATCACTCTACAACTCCCTGAAAGCAGGGTGTAGCCAGGTGGGGGTTGTTCTCTTCTCCCAGGTAACAACTGACAGGATCAAGAGGAAATGCCCTCAAGATGTGCTCTGAGTGCTAGGAGAGGTTAATGTTGGATGTCAGGAAGAAATTCTTCACTGAAATGACTGTCAAGCATTGGATCAGGCTGCTCAGGGAGGTGGTGGTGTCAGGAGTGCTGGAGGTATTTAAAAGATGTGTAGATGTGGCACTTAGGGATGTGTTAGTGGTGGATGTGCTTGGCAGTATTGGGTGAATGGTTGTGATCAGTCTTAACGTCATAATCTAAATTATTTTATTATTCTATTGCTGTTACAGAAGATAAACACACAAAGCCTTATTTGCCTATGTAGTCTTTAAACCTTTTGGATCTGGACTTTAAACTCTTGGGTCTAGAGACAGCATATGACCTGGGCAGGAAAGGAACTTCTTTCTGGAGATGTTCATTGTTTGCAGGTGGTGGGAGACCAGTCTGCCCAGAAGTGAGAGTTCAAGCAAGGCTGTATGAAACTGGTCCTTGGGGCACCATACACACTCTCCTACCTCTCATCACGGCAATGAATGTGTGTAAGGGCATAACTTTGACCTCAGATATCGCTGTAGCCAATGCACAGTCACGCTGCTCCTCCTTCAGCCCTTATCCATGGGTAAGGAACTGAGGGAGGGCAGGCGGGATTCAGCTGCACAGCAAGACTGAGTCAAGCTGGGACCCAAGTGCAGGTTTTACCAGTTTGTACAGTTCACTTGTTTTTCCCATTCATACTGAAAAGAGCTACATGTTGCTGTCAGACTTTAGTCTTGAATACATCTTCAGACTGTTTTCAAAAGGCATAACAAACTACCCCAAGCAGACGAATTACTGCTGTCAGCAGCACAATAATAGTCACACACATGGTTTCTTTCTCCTTTCCTCTCCTCCACTCCCCATGATGAAATTTCTAAAATGTTGTGCACTGCACAGAATGCAAACAGACATTGGGTTAGTTAAAAACATACTTCTCTTTATTTGAAAGTTTTCTATTCACAGATAACAGGCAGTTGGATACATTGCATAGTATACCTTTTTTTTAAAGTATGCTTATTATCAAATATGTCAGAAAAAGGATGGTTACTGGCTCTAACTTCCCACAAGAAACAGTGAAGTTAATGGAACAATAAATTAAAGGAGTAGTAGTAGTCCACATTACATATAAAATAGATGTTAACAGATACAAACATAACATGAATGATGACAGATTCAGTTTCCCTTCTCCTTAGAAATTCAGTGTCTTATTAGAGTGGTTTCCTAAGCTGAGTTTTTATTAAAATGCAGTAGTGGTCTGAAACACAAAAGTCACACAATTTTTTAAGTTGAATGGGAATGCCTTCAAGAAACCTTGCTAGTGGGAATGGGGCTGCTGTTCCCCTGCCCCTGTGATGCTCGGGTCCTATTCCTGATGCTGAGCCCTTGCTGCTGCAAGGAGGCAGACTTGGTGCTTCAGCAGTAGCTGATCCTGGCTCTAAGGCACTTCTAGGGCCTATCAACTCTTTACATTGCAGGCACTAAGTATTCAAAGGAAAAATTCCACAGGGTGGGAGAGTGCGGTGTCATTATGCAACCTTAGTTTAGTGTACTGGCCATCATCTCTGGGACCGTCCTCATAGTCCTATATAAATGCTCCTTGCTGGAAATGCAGTATCTGGGCCCTCTGTGGTATTGAACCCCCAGGGAGCTTCTGTGGATGCTAAAGAAAAACAGTTTTAAGAGATGTATCTTGTCACTGTGCTCTCTTTCCTGTTTACCTGAACTCATGTGGGTTTCCACGAGTGCTTTCTGGCAGGCAGGTTTTGCTGTGGAGCTGGTCCTGTGCATGGGCTGAATTTCAGGGTGCCACCTGCACTTGTCTCCTGCCTTGAGCTGGAGGCAAACACCTTGTTCATCTGTTCAGGTGAGCTTCAGAAAGTGCCAGAGCTATGGTGGGGAGGTAGGGATTGAACAGGGACATGAAGAGATAAGCTCTTCCAGCAGAACAGCAAGAGATCTCCATTAGGGAACAGAGTAGCTGAGTCCATGCAAACTGGAGCTCCAAGTGTCTTTACCACAACATGGATGCTGGCCCATATATTACCCAATGAGAAAAGTCAACCATGTTCTGAATTACAGGGTTTGTAATTCAACCCTGAGGATCTGGTGACTATAGAAACCACCTGAGCTCTGCTGCCCTGGTTTGACAACCATATGCTCCCAGAGGCAATTATAATCCTGTTGTATGTCTCAGCTGCCTGGCACTTTTTTCCTCCCTCCTTCCATACTTAACACTGAGGTAGAAGTTTCAACTAGCATTAAAACACACAAGAAATGAACAGGATCTTAGTGGGAAAGTAGTCCAATGACCTTCAAAATTTGCAAAAATATAACATGGCTATTAAATGAGTAACAGAAGTAGAAGAGTAATTCTAAAAATGTCAGAAAAACAGTATCAAAAAAGTACAGTACAGAGTTGCAAGACATTTTGTATTGTATTTTTAAAAATTAAGAGGTTTGTTTTTTTTTTTTAAATTCTCCCTCTGCAACAGAATTTTTTATACTGGTATCAAAGTAGAAGTACACATGAATTTTTGAATACATCAACTCTTTTGAACAATTATCCCATTGGCTTTAGTTGAGTATTGCTTTTATTTCCTATAAAAATACATGTTTAACTATGTGTGTGTATATATTGACATACATGTCTTGCAATAAGACCTGCATTCCTTCTGAAGCTCACAAGGAAGATCAAAGTAGTCTTTGTAAAGTAGGGAGTAATCTTTACAAAAAGACTTAAATGTCTTATTGTTCATAAAATATTTAAATTTAAACACAAATCACCAACATAGGATTTTTTAAATTTTTTTTTTCTTTACTACCCCTGTAATACTAAAGAAAGTTTATATTAATAGCTAAATAAATTGAGTTAAACTACTCCTGTAGGGGCTGCTTTTAGTTACATCCACTGTACTTAATACCACAGAGCAAATGAGGTCCAAATTTCAGTTGAAAGAACATGGTTAGCTTGAATTTCACCCTATTGATTTAATTATTGGCAGGAATGTGAAAATACATTCAGTGTAAGAAAGCTGTTAAAGCCAGAGGAGGAAAAAAGAAGTTATTATTCTTAGAGCTATTTTCCAAGAAATACTAGATGTTCCAGCTTTAAAGCTGCATTTTTAAATCAGGGGAAAAAAAAATCCATGAGTAGAGGAAGACAGTGTTTATGAGCCTTCAAGGAGAACACTTCACTGACATTAAAGGCAACTTTGCAGACTCACTTGAAATGTATCAATTTGTAATCTACACATTTACAGGAGCTGCTCTGCTCTGAAAGCTGTTTCCCAATCTGTGCCAAAACATGTGAGGCTGCGTAGCATACTTCTAATGATAGACCTCCAGGCTCTGTTTCTCCATAATTGATTTAGTTATTAGTTATGCAGGGGAGAGAAGAGATCCCTGAGGCTTAGTAAAACAGTATTCAGTTACTAAAAGCAGCCCTTTGTGAATTAATGTCATCCTACCAGCTCTTTCTGCTCATTATTCCTCCAAGTCTTGTTTTCCTGGACACCAGCTGTCACAGAGGAAGTCTCCAGCCTTTTCTTCTCCTGCCTCCTTGGCTGACTGCAGTTGCACCAGCACGGTCTGGAGTGTCTCCTTCACCACCTGGATCTCCCTCTGCAGAGACTGTGCAAGCTTTATTAAGAAATAATCTATAGGTGATTGGCAGTCGCTTTTCTCTTTCCAAGTTATTAAGTACATTCTTGTTCTGCTGTTCACAACAGATGGCCATGGCTATCTAATTGTAGCTTCAAATTCTTCCAAATTGTTTGGATTAAATATTAATACATTTCTCACACTTGCTAGCAAAAGAAAAATGCAGGCAAACTCAAGTTCTCAAGTAGCATTATTTAGCAGTTTAAAAAAGGGAGGGGATGTGGGATACTGCTTGGACATTGTTCTCATGGGAAGGAAGGAGACAAAAAAATATTGTGTACTATGGAGGCGGCAGCATTAGGTGTGAGTTTCCTGATGCATGGAGGGTAGACTTTAATTCCAGAGACACAGAGCTGGGTGAATCAGATCCCAGGTGAAGGCAGCGGAGCAGCCTGAAACAAATGCCAAGTGACCACAGCTTGCGTGACATTGGTGAGCTCAACAACGCGTGCTATGCAAGGTGGGGTGGGAATCTAGGTAAGGAGCAAAATTAACTTACAGCAGAGAAAGTTTTTCTGCTACACTTACCTCCAGAAAGCTTTCATGTTAGCTGAATTATCATTATAATTACAGTGCAGAACAAATATAAACTATACAAGACTCCACAGGGAATGCTTTGAACAAATTGAAAAGCAAGAGGGCAGTAACAAGGTTGTATTGTTGTGCATTAAAAGGAAGAAGGCCACCTGAGAAGTATCCAATAAATAGTATAAAATGCTTCATTTGGTTAAGAAAGAGATTATTGCACTTTATTTTCCTCTATCTAGTTCAGGGTTCCTGCAATGAATTCAGGGAGAAACTGATGCTTAATGGCTCGGCCTCTGAAAGAGACCTTCCACTTCCCTCTTTCCCCAGCTCCACAATGACGAGAGGGAGGATGCCATGTGGTGACAACAAGGGGTGCAGCAGGACTGGAAGATGAAGGCAGGACATTCAGAGACAGCAGCAACTCCTCCTGACACATGCACAAGCCTTTAAGTGGCTAGGCTTCCTTGGCAGAACAGCTTTTTGTGCTATGACTGGTAATAGGTTTGTACTACCAATATACTGGCCTTTCTGCTGATAATTATAAATCAGCAACACTATCCATTGCTGGAAGAAGTGCAAGGACTGGGTGTAGCTCAATGAGACAACCAATTTTATCCCCTCTTCTACAGCTTATTCTATGTGAAGAAGAAAGCAAGCAGAGGTGAACCAGAGCCTGCTGAAATGGTAAATCAATGACCAAGTCTATGAACAAACCCTAGGGCCCATCCCATCCCCACTGAGGCCTCCTGGAACAGGTATGGCTGAAGGGCAAAGACCCCAAAAGACAGAAATTGGTTCACCTCACTTCAAGGGAAGTGAAACAGGATAACACTGAAACAACTCAGTTTCAAAAGTACAACACACAGAAAGGACAAGGCACAAGGACAGTCTTTGTCCTTTGCAAAGCTCATACATTAGGGAATGTTGTTTTACTTGACCCCAATGTCAATGCAATGTCAAGAAAAAAAGATGGCCTCAGGTTATGTGACTGTAAAAACTAAGCTGCTACTTTTGAAAAATTATGACTTTATATAAAGCTATACCAAGCATGGCTCTCTCAGGCAGCCATTATTATGTCTTTGAAAAGTCTTGGCTGCTTTTGATTCTGTTACAAATTCTCCAAAATTTCATGTTTGTGTATTTACATGCATTTGCTATGATGTTTTGCTCTTAATATGTTCATGCATATTTCTAATTTCTGGACAGCTCTGTTAATCTAAAGGCCTTCTGTCTCTGATTACAAATAGAAGCAGTACACACAAAGCTTCTCCTATCCCAGGATCACAAAGCACAGTACAAGGACAAATTAATTATGCTTTGCATCTTCTCTGAGGTAAGAAATATTATTATTCTCTTCTAAGTCCTGGATTCTCCACCCCTCTGCAACTTAATCATGAGGCTCTGCTGAAAACCTAACTGGTAAACATAAATTCTGTAGTCCATGAACACCATAAACCTTCTGAAGTTTAATTAATTCTGATGTGTAGTCTCTGACTACATGCTGTTACTTGTAATATTCCAGGCAACTACAAAATTCCTTTCAGGTAGAGAGAAGAAGCAAAATTGAAATGTTTCAGTGACAGTGGATGAGAAATCTTAAAGGATGGAAGATAATGAGGAAGACAGGAAAAAAAACAACTGTTAACCAACAGAAAGATGGAGCAACAAAAAAAAGATGACTGCATAGTCTAAGTACAGCAAGTTCCAAAAGCTGCATAAATAACACCACAATCGTATGTAGACAAGTAAATGAGCCTTTATAGCTAAGACAAATATATTGGTATATGGCTGAGTATGGAATTTCTATCATCTCTAACACACAGGTTATATCTGGATAAACAGCTTCACCCATTTTAAAAATACAAATAAACAGTTTTGCATGGGTCCACATGCAAATGTGTCCTTCGTGTTTAGATTGTCTATCCAGTGCTGCAAATATTGAGCCATTATCCAAGGAAGGAGTTAAAGCAAGTTCCAACTAGGAATATTTTCTAGTTCTGCTGTCTACCTCTGAAAACTGAAAAAAATCTCCACAAAGTCAAATAAGCAGTAAATTAAAGTACTTGGGAACAAGAATAACCCATATCCACAAAAATGCAACCCATATTCAACAATGTTGCAGGTTGAACATTGTCTTGCTGGAAGCTTTTCACCTATTTGACTTTGTCTCTTTGAAAAATTGAGCATCGTCTTAGAGCCCACAATTTGCAAGCAGATAAAAAGCAGATCAAATTACTGTAGAGACACTTAAGTTTTGGAAAAAATGGGATCATTTTGTTCAAATGCAGCTTCTGATCTCTCAGCCCAGATGTTTAGGGAAAAGAGACAAAAAGTAGATACTATCAATCAGTTGCCTTCCTATAGGAAAGGTTAGAAACTAAGAGTACGTATTATAAAATAAAAGACATTGGAAGGACAATGAAGGACAACTACTGCTCTAAGGGCCAATGGGATTTTGGAAAGTAACTGCATTGTTTGATGCAATTACTTATATCAAAGTAATGCAATGAAGAAGTTAATTCTTGAAGAACAGAAATAATCTGAAAGAGGTTTTTGGTTGGGTTTTTTCTTGTTTTTAACCTGGTTAACTATTCCACTTGCTTCTAAAAGCCAAACAGTGGCTGCAAACAGAAGCTCAGCTCAATGTCCTACCACCTAACTGCAAGTGTCACTCCCAAGCCCAGGCACCAGCACCCATGGAGGGGCTAAGCCAGCTGCAAAGAAGTTCTGCAGAAAAGGACCTTGAGGTCATGGTGGACAGTAAACTGCACATACATCAGCAACGTGTCTTGTGGCAAAGGTGCCCCACAGCCTCCCAGGCTGGATTAACAAAAACACAGCCAGCTGACAGAGGGAGATGATCCTTCCCCTCTAACCAGCACTGCTAAGGTCCCATCTGGATGTTGTGGGTTCCACAATAAAAGAGAATGATTTACTGGAATGACTCCAGCATGGGACTGGTTTAATGGACTTGGGTATCCATCATATGAGGAGATGCTGAGAGAGCTGGGACTCCTCAACCTGAAGAAAAGAAGGCTTGCAGGATACTACCATTGGTATAAACAGCTGAAAGTCAGGAATGAAGAAGAGGGAGCCAGACTCTTCTGACTTTTTTCTTGTTCACTGACAGAACAAGAAGTAACAGGGAGAAATTCCAAAATAGGAAATTGAATCAGAATTCACTAAAACATTCTCTTTGTTTAAAGGTGGTCAAACACTATATTGCACTATCAGGTTGTGGAGTGCCCATCCTTGGGGATATTCAAAATTGGATTGGACAAAACATCCTGGACAACTTTCTCTAGGTGACCCTGCTTGAGCAGGGAGTTGGACCAGATGATTTCAAAAGGTCACTTCCAATTACACAGCTCTTTGACTGTGTGTGCTACATGCCAAAGGACCAGTGAAGAGCCAAGACAATTCAGTAAGTCTTTTGAATGACTGGGGTTTTGGCCTTTTTGAAGAGCACTCTTGGGAGCAAGGGAAAGACACTAAGCAAGTCCCTGCTGTTTCTGTGAGACCTGTGTGGTGTCACAGCAAGAGAGAAAAATGGCTTTTGGAAATCCATCACTTCTCCTCACAAAATACAGGGGTATTTGCAGTAGTGCAACCAATTAAAATTTTCTCAATCACCCCCTTGATTACTGTTTCCCTCCTTCACATTCATGAATGTTATTTCTACAAAATAAGATAGTACCCCTGCCATGCAAAACCCAAAATACTCGCCCAAAAAACTACTCAACAAAAAAAACTACAACAGAATGACTGCTACATATTGAAAAATGGAACCCTTCAGTGGTCTGAATATCAGCTACTTTCAAATTGCTTGTTCCAGCAGAAAATAGAAGGCAAAGAAGTTGTAGCACCTGAGTGGAAATACACTGACTCTATCACAGCATAAACTATAAAAGTAGAACTATGTTCTCTGTGTGACATGCAGAGGGAAGGGCCCACCCTCCTGTCATCTAAAATAAAATCGAAGAGGGTGCCATTGCCACCTCTAACACTTGGAGGATCCCAAAATCTCTTAGAGGTTCACCCAGAGTGAGACTCCTCACTGAGCTACAGCCAGGGCTCAGTTTTACATGAATCTCTTGAAAACCTGCTCTGGTGTAAAGCAAGACTTGTATGGGAGCCTGCTGCAGGATAAAGGTGAAGGGTTAGCAAAGTGACCTGCAACATTTAATGGATATTTAGGCACAAAATCCTGCTTTCAAAATAACTGATTAAAATGCCTATTTTAGGGCAAGGAAAGAAGATTGTTTTGTAGTAATACCACGTGTTTTCTTCCAACAAAGCATTTCCACCAAGAGCAACTATTACATGCATTCAAATTGTCCATCAAAATGTAACTACTAATTAAGAACAAAACATGACTGTGAAATTGCAATATAGACTCCATTTAATTTTAGTGGTAATTCCAGGCCTTTACTATCAGGAAAGTAACACCTCTCATCAGTTCTGCAGACACCAGAACAAGTCACCTCTCATCCTTTGGTTTTCCCAATTAATGATGTGGACTGTTTTCATACACTCATTAATGATCAACCATAATTGACTATTTTGTAGGTTTATTTGGTTATACTACATAGAATTTAGCAAATATGTCATAGTGCTACAGAGAACTCTAACATCCAGTCCCATGCCCCTATTGTTTGATGCTTTTTATATAGAAGGGCAGTTTAGTGGTTTTTGTGAAAAATTTCAACAATAAATTAGAATTGCAAGTGGGTCTGTGCCTATACTCAGGGCCAAGACATATTGCTGGATTTCTCCTTTGTTCAGGTTGTGCTGGCACTTACAATGAGCAGCGTGGTTGATTTAAGTGTGCTATGCCATCAAAACATAGAATGAAAAACAATGACATCTGGGTTTTTTCTTCTAATACAAACTTAATTATTAATCAAAGCTATGATACACACTAAACATTGGCAAATGGCTCAAGAGCAGCAGGAATTTATTTTTCTCAGTGGAGTCTTTGGAAGTCTTTTAATAATAAGACCACAGGACTAATTTATATCTGTGCAGCCCCCAGTTAGATATTTGACCTAATATATTTTGTAACATTTATGTGTAAAGCAGTTTTTTGGGAGGAATATGGGAAGGATGAAAATAACCAGTGAATGGACTTGGAAAAATTTATCCTGCTTTCATTACTATTTCAGGTCTTTAAGCTCCTGCTCTCAGGAGTTCTACAGATTTTTAATGTAAGACTGCATGATTGCCCAGTATCTGTGTTAGGAAATTGTTTTATCTAAGATCAAATAAATTACAACAACAGATTCATCTATTAAATAAATTCTTCTGCCAAGGCTAATTGTTGTCTCTTATCTTAGTGCTAGTTCCTGCAATACAGTCAAGTTACCAATGAGTGAAAGCTAATTTTATAGGCACTGCACAGTCTTTATATAAAAAAACCCAAAACAATCTACAGGTCTGTGGCACTCTGGTAGCTATTTTTCTAATTCCTTTTTGAAGTACAGCACAGTGATTACATGTACCAGATGGTAACATTTTATGCACATTGACCTGGACTACCTCTGAAATAGCAACTGAATGTTAATGAGGGGTAGCTGAATTGCTGAACTGCTTCTTTGTACATCCCTATGTTTTAAACATGGTTTCTTATTTTGTGACTGATGGTCTTGCTAAGACCAGGATATCACACACTGTGCATTTCTGTATTTAGATAACATGTGTTGAATTTCACTGATAGAGGAAGTCAGATCTCTATCAGAAAACTGTGGCTTAAAATGAGACTAATCTACAACTCTCCTGAAATTTCCAATTACTAATTTTATTTTTTTACTAACTCTTGCAGTCTCAACAGCTGTGAAGAAATAGGCACGCTCCATAGAATGTAAGAAACACTATTTCGCACATATGTAGTGTATTATCTTCTGGAACCAAAAATGCAGTTTTCCAGCTTATTTCACCTTACCTAAAAAGTAATAACATAGTAAAGTATAACTATGATCAGATGTGACTGTTCAGTTTGAATATTAACTTAAGTCCCCTGCAAAGAACCTGTAACTACAACCCTCAGTGTTCTTCTATAAGGGCCACTGAGAAAGCTTGTTTGAGAGTAAATATATGTAAGGGAGAAAGGAATTGGATGCTCTGCACACACACACACACACACACATCCATACAGCTCTGAAAAGAATGCATTGGGGAAACACAACTGCAACTAAGCATGAACACTGCAAATATAATAAAAAAAATGTAGAATAATCTTTCTGTATATTGCCTGTATAGGGAAATGCTTAAACAAGACATATTTAAAGTACTGACAAATGACTGACTGGATTTCTTTCCTCCATTGCAAATCCCCTTCCCCTAACACCATCCTTCCTTCCCTCTGCCCCTCACACTTTATCCTTCTGTTACCTTTAAAGAAATCAAGTTTCTAGAATAGGAATTTTGCAATGACTTGCCATAGATGCCCAATTACTTAAAACACAGTGCTATTTCCACACACTATTTATTCTCTTTTCTCTAAACTATCCTCTACAGGACTGTCCACCTTCTCTTAGCAGGAAGTGAATCCTTTCTACACCATTGTCACCCCTAGTCACCTTCAGATGTCTCCAAGGGCTCCTCTGCTAATCTCTGCACTTTGAATATATTTATTTTTCTTCATGATCCTCTCAACTGCCATCTCTTCTCTACTAAAACTTAACAAGCTCAGTACTCTCATCTTCCTCAGCTTCACTGGTTCTTACTTTCCTTACCCTTTCTTAGAAGAACAAAATCTCCCTTATTATTGCTATATTCCTATAACTTTCTTATAAGATTTTTTTTTTCCTATGGAAGTTACAAATGAAACAAAACTTTGTGCTCCTAAATTTTGAGAAATGGCCAAGGAATTCCTCATAAAGGTTAAGCAGTCTTCAGAAAAACTGACAAATATAGCACAGAAAGAGGTAAGTGTGCATAAGACAATATCTCATCTGGTTACTTCTATTGGAGTGTTAGAGGCAGATTAAAATGTGTAGGATGCCACACGATGCATCTGTTGTCCATTATTTTTTAAAAGAAAAATCCCCAAACTACAGGTGACAATACACAAAGTCTGAGTCAATAAAGTAGCATCTAATTCAGCTAAATCATGTTCGGAAATGCAGGTGCACAGACACTCGTACCCATGCAGCTTTTGGTGCACTACATATTTAATCATATGAGCATTACAAGCTAAAGGATTTTAACAGCAAAATAAAGGCTTTGCAGTGCCCAATCTTAATTTACAAAGAACTAACTTCTATTTAAATCAATCAAAGCTGGATCAGACCACAGTTAAAATGCACTATAGGAAAACTTACTACACAAAAATGCCCATGTCAGCAAGACAATGATTTCTCCCATTCTTAATGTAGCTAACCTACACTAAGAATCAGCATTCCATGTGAGCCTGAAAGGCAAGTATCTGATGTGCATACTTACCCAGATTGATATGTATCTATAGCTATAACGAAAAGGATATGAATAACTCCTTCATCAACTCTGCAGGCGGAACTTTGCAATTGATCTTCCAGATGCACCAATTTCTCACTTATTGCTTCACATTTTTCTCCCAACTCTGCAGAAAATATGAAGAACTCCTACAGAAAGTTGAAAAATAAAAGAGAGCATGTTTGCTGCTGAATGCACTTTTCTACATCAAATTTGCATCAAATTAAAGGGAAAATAAAATATTAGTAAGGGGATATGATACTTTGCAGTGCAAAGACATTGCCTAAAAGCAAATTCCCATTAGAGAGACAAAAAGCTCTATATAATAAATTGGTGATTAATATGAAATGGAATGAGCTTGTGGTCTCAGTCTTCTTCCCAGCAGAAAAGAGTCACAATCTCACTTTCAGCAGATGATTAAAGGGGTGTGAAGACAACTACCCTGAACTGCTCTCCTTCTCCCCTGTTGTCTCATCACAGCAGGGGAGGGAAGTCTCATGCTAACCACCCATTAAGGTACCCAAATTATGAATTGTTCATGTAAATATGATTTACACTTTTAGGTCATGTAAATATTTCAAGCAGCAACATTTTGGTAACTCTTATACACATAAAATGTACTTATATTTTTGAAGAAAAATCTGGCTAGAGTACTTAGGGACTTCGCTCAAGCAATCAAAGAAAATGCATCAAAGTCTTTGAGATTACAAGATGAAACTGTACTTTTTTTACTGAGTTATCATTAAACAAGACTAAATTTTCAAAAATAATACTTCTCTACTTAGAACTTACACAGGCAAATACTTTTTCTATTTTAAATTGAGTATTTTAAACCAGTTTCAAAGTCCTTCTCATAAGTTTTTCCAGATACATTGCACAAGGATAACTGCTATTTTTTATATTTTGCATTGAGTAGTACTTTGAGAAATGACCCAAATAAGCAGCAAATATGAGAATAGAGGGGAAAAAAAATCAATCAATTTGTGCAGCTCTGAGACAAGCCTTTCCTCTCCCTCCCATGGCACCGTAGTGTTGTGTACAGTAATGACAAGGGTTATTTGTAAAAAAAGATTATGGTGCCAGGATGAACTTCTGCTGGAATCATGTTAAAAAAAAAAAAAAAAAGAGTAATTCATCAGCTGGAATCCAGAAAACTTGACTGTCGCTAGACAACCCCTAGACCTAGTCTGTGCACTCATTAATAAAGCCAGCTTCTAATGTGGCCGTATACTAGCTGCAGAAAATTTTTCTCCTCAAAGAGAAAAGTACTTGGGGTCCTTTGTACTTATCTGTTGCTATAAGACATCAGTGGTTGCTTAAGAGAAATCAAACCTTCAGTCAAAGGCCTTCCAAAGAAATCACGCTAGTGCTTTTTGGAATGCTGCTTGTTGTGAGACAATTTGAGTTTTGGTGAACATGTTTACCAGATCTCAGTTGTGTGCTATCCTTTCACTTTGCATCACACAGTACATTGCATACATGGAGTTGAATGCCAGAAGAGCTCTGCTTGCTGGCACATCCTCTGTTATGGCACAGAGCTTCACCTTTCTGCTTTCCGCGGGCCTTTCCCGGACTTGGCTATCCAGCAGCTCCCACTGGGACCAGCTGCAGCTCAGCCCCTGGATGAGGTTGGTTAAGAGGTTGTGTTGCAAACCCCTGCAGCTCAGACACAGAGGAGCACAATGGCTGAGTCCTTGGCTCTGTGCACAGAACAGAGATACCAATTCCAGGCACTAGCAAGCCTGAGAACCTACAGCAGCACTCCACAGAATGTACGGATATGAAAAAACCCCATTGTTTTTAAAGTAAGAACATGGGAGGAGAAAAGAAACATTCTCCTTGCAGCAACTAGGAACGTCTTTTTCTGAAGACGAGTGACAGAAGATGAGGAAAAAGTCTTCCATCCAGCTACTAAATTATTATTCAGCATACCAGCAGGACTCCATGTGCTGTAATGGAGTGGGACAACCCAGGCCATTTGTATCAGTAGAAAGCTCTTAGGTAATCATTCTGTGACATACATGCAAGAACAGATGACAATTGTCCAAGAGAATTTAGGGATCAGGCTAGAAAAAATCAGTAAATTGAAAAAATCCAAACAAGTACTCTGAAAGCACATCTAGAATTATGACCACATAGAGAAAGCTCCACATACGGAAAAACGCGGGGTATTCTTCCTCAATGATCATATTTTGGGTACATAATGCACTGCCTAAAAGTATAATAAAATCCTGTTTACTTTGGAAATTAAGGTAAAGGAACAATAAATATTAGACAGATGTAACCAATTGTAACAACAATATGGGCAGGCAGGGAAATCAGAGAGTGTAAAGGTCAAATCAAACTTGTTTAGGTCTTTAAACACTTCTAAACCAATTAAATCTAAATGGCTATGGTTGCACTTCAGAATAACCAAAATAGCTCTGTAAGATTGAGGTTATATTTAATTAGTCTTTTAATCCTAATAATGCAGCTTAATTTCTCTTTATTACAGCCATGATAGTGTATGAATGAACTATTTCTGCACCTACATAACCCAGGTGCCTTTTCAGTTGAAATGAGAAGTTCCTCCAACACCTTAGACAAGCATCAACTCCCAGGAATTTACTTGCAGGTGTCATGTGAAAAATGTAAGAGAACCATCATATAAATTGTAATTTCCCAGAATTTATATAAATAAATATGGAAATGGAAGAAACATACAGTGCTCTCAAAAATACACAACAATAATTCTAAATATTCAACCAATTCCACAGCTTCTGCCTCCAGGCCCTCATTTAAAAAAGGTTTGCTAGCCCAGAGAAGTAGATAGAAAAGATTTCTCTTAGTGCTTTTCATGCCTGGTAACATCATTGGTAGCATTTCTATTTGACATTTGTCTATGTAGGCAGGAAAACCCCTGTCAGTGATACACAAACTATTCAGAACAGCTCACGGTTGGGAAGCGGCACTTTACACTGATCAGCAATATCTCTGAGAGGAAAGTGGACTCTGCCTCAAGCTCAACTTATTCATAAAATACAACTAATCCAAGCTTGTAGGTTATGTCAATGCTACAAGATGCTGTAAGCCTGAAGACTTTGGTTATTTTTGCTCTAGTGGCATTTTTAGGAAGCAGCTGGGAGAGATTGCAGGATTCAGGAGAGAGCTGAAATGCAATATTGCTTTATGGATTTTTCTGTGAACAGGGAATGTAGCTGGCTGGGATTTTTTCCCCCTCTAAATCCTTAAGCAGGTGAAAACAGCACAAATATGGCTGTGATTTAAGGCACAATTCTTCTGGCTTCTCAAACAAAGCAGAAATTCTCATTCTTTCCCAAAGATGTGAAAATCTGATGCAAGAAATGGTAAAAACAGACAACGTTCCAGCCAATGCACTGCTGTAACATCCACATATTGCATCAAGAGTGGAGGGAATGGCTTTCACTTTCATCTTCTGCATTTTGTTTTACCCTTTTACATGTAATTATAGCCACCTATGAGCAATAGCTCCTTGACAGCATTACTTGAAGAAAATGTTTGATCAGCTTTTCCAGTGCAAATACCTCCTATGCTCTTCCATCTAGCTTAGTAATTTTATATAGAAGAATTGGTATTGTAGTCGCTAGATTAATTTAATTCTACTTTGGATTAGAGTCTATATTAGAGTCTTTGGTGGTTGTGCTGAGAAGGAGAATTCCCAGATATATCCTTAAAATTCATTCTTCCTACAGAGGAATACCCTTTGTAAAAGGGTATTGCCTTACTTCCAAGCAGCAGTATCATAATCCAAATAAAATAGAAACTTTAGAACACCTTCTGCAAAGCCAGATTTCTTTCACCTGCACTAAACAATCTCTCATAATAGTAAAAAGAACTCAAAGTAACATAAATAACAACTACAAAAACTTGTCCTTGCTGGCTGATACTTCACATTATGGCACAAGGTTTAGAACAGTGATCTACACATGGCAGAAGTGCTGCATGTTTACTCTCGACCCTTGCAGTAGTTAAAGGCAATTGACACTTGAAACTCCAGAATGTTAGGCCATGACATATCTCAGACAATTACTAGAAACAAGATGCAACCATCCATATTTGTCCTGCTTGAGCAGATGCTTCAGTCACATGCAGGCTAAGTGCACATACCCTGAGATAAATGAGCTGCATGGCCGTGAGGTGACCACAGAGCAGGGAAGGAAGAAACTGAAGAATTTGTTCCTGCTCTGCATCCCAGATTTCCTGCCCCATGTGCATTGTCCTGGGCATTGTCCTGTTGTAGATGAGGAAAGCCACTGAGGACAACGCATGTTACTCATGACCAACACCACCACGTCAAGGCTGTCCAGGAAGCATCCAGGGACCACCAGAGCCTGCTCTGCAACTTGCAGTGTGACCAAGCTGTGACTGTCCTTGTGGCTCTTAGCAGCTGACATGGGTTCTGACTGCAGGGTACAGACTGCTCCAGGGCTAAAGGACCCTTGCAGTGAGCAGGTTTTCTTCTGGCTACAAACCAAGATGGTTACATTCTGTTTTACCCTTACGTGCCACATAACAATAACTAATAGTTCTCCTATATATCACTACGTTTTATGTGGTTGAAGACTTTGACTTTCAACCAGACTAGGATCTTGAAACCTTTTATTTCCATTCTTTTCCTTCTTTCCTTCATCATGTTCCTGTCTTCTATAGAGGGAGGTGTCCAGACTAGAGCCACAGTCCTCTGGAGGCTTTGGCATTCTCAGCTAAGCACCATAATTATTTCTGTCCTACAACTGACATTCCCAGTAATGAGGCTGCAAACGACATTTGCCCTTTCTTCCAATACAATGAAGGTAATGAGTCCCACTATATTTGTAGCCCACTAGAAACCTAGATTCTTCTGCAGTATTGTCAACTTAGCTGCTATTTATCATCTGTATACATAAATCCTACTCTCCCTCAAATGTAATTTGCACCTGTCTTTCAACATATCCCTTCTTATTGATTTCTGACTATTCTTTCAATCTATCAAGACCATTTGGAACTCTAATCCTAATTGAAATTCTGTTGACTGGCACATAAACTCCTGGCCTACCTCCTTTTTAAAGGCAAACACAAAGTCTGCCTTTACTGATTTGCTGGGACTTCAAGCTTCCGCTAGGAGTTTTCAAAGGAGCTTGTTAATGGTTTGGAGATTGTTTTTCTTGGCTCCAATGTGCTCAGGAGAAATTACATCAGTCTAGCCTGACTTGAGTACATCTCATTTGCCTTTGGGTCTTTTACTGCATTTGCCTCTTACTACCTTGTAGTGAATCCTAGGAGCACTACATAAGTGGACATAGCTTATAATCTTTAAAAAGACCAAAAGCAGAGAGAATAAGGAAGGAAAAAAAATCTGATCTCATTTGTTTTCTCATTCAATTTTCTTGTTAGAAGACACACGTTTTCTTTTACCTTTCCCTTGCATCCAGCTTATCCCTGAACTCTCTTGCCATTTCACATCTTCTGTTTCATGTAGCTTAGTGTGCTCAGGAGTCTTGCTGCTTCACACTTAGACAGTGAAGTACCCTCCTAGGCTCATTCTTACTAACACTTTTTTCCTTTCCTTGTCAAAACCTTTGAGCCACTAGGAAACTGCTGACACAGACATGTAGTCTGTGATTGTGTTTGCACTTTTCTGCACCAAAAGAAGATGCAGCTGTACTATAAACCTGATGTCTTCTGGACACTACCAAAGAATACTTGCTGATTCCTTCTCCTACAGTTTGTCCCACAGAAAATGCCCTGTTGCTTCCCTCATTTTGTTTAGCTGAGCCTTTCTTTCGTGGAGATAGCTATCTAACTTTTCTCAGAAGAGGGATCAAAGTTGTTTCCCAATTGCTTTTGCTCTTATCACCTTCCACTTACAGACTGTTAGCTTGTTCCATCAGCGTGGTTATATATATTTAGGAGACTCCAGCACTACGACACACTCCCCACTTTCTCATATGCAACAATTTAGGCATAAAGCCTTCCAGCCAGCTGTGACCGATCTCTTTCCCACCATCACACGCTTTTCCCACACTCCCTTTGTTTGCACTGATCCCCCTCCCTTCTCCACATGGGAGTGTTAAATGACTCATCAGAATTACAGTCTGACGTTGGCAAGTCCTCCCTTTGTGTATCTTCCATTACAGCTACAGAGGAGTGTCCCTGGAAAAGCATCTCTGCAGGAACAGAGTTTTTCACTGCCTTCCAGCACCCAGCTGTGGCCTGACAGCAGTCTTCCTATTCTCATCCCTAGTAGACTGAAGATCTTCCCTAATTGCAGACTTTCTAAAATGAGAGCACACTACTGCACTGGCTCATTTAATTACACTGGGACAATTCCAGCTCCTGCTGAGGGAGGATGAGGCTATTTACCGACTAACCAATAAAAATTCACAGTGGGTCAGGACTTGGAAAAAGAAACAAAGTACCAAACTGTTTTCCTGTGTCCACACCCTGCTGTGCAAGGAGTCAGTATAGCTGGGTTTCATTTATAGGTGGTTCCTAGGATTCTTCATTCCCATCTCTGCTCCCAAGTCAGTAAGATGCAACAATCAGGAATGACTAACTTGGTGCCCTCCTGCAGGCAGTGGGGGAGACTGACCAGCGCAAATTAGGGGACCAGAGCACCAAAGATACATTTAGGCAAAACCTTGACATGGTACAGGCTGCTGACACTTTCACAGAGCTTTATGGACTCTACAAATCTTCATCAGTCCAGCTGTGGCAGTGTGGGAATCTAAAGAAATGTCTCATGTGAATAGTTACCCTAAATTTTAATATTTATTTATTGAATATTTGCCTGGTTTGGAGCACTTGTCAGTTGTACTTGACAGGAAGCAGGTATGTTGTTATGGAAAGGGAACTGCGGGTTACTTGTCCATGCAATTTATTTGCTAGCTGGACGCAATGCTTGGATACTGAATTTCCTTACAATGTAAGTTGCAACCCAGGGCATACTGATACAAAAATGGACCAGACTGAAACAGCACAGCTCTTAGAACCAGGGCAGCTCTCGTTACACATATATTACCTAAACTTTTAGTTTGTAGGTAGACAGATTTTTGTATATAAGCAGGTTTTTCTCATAGGCCATATATCTCATGTTACTCAATCATTCCGGCTTTCTTGAACACATGGACTAGGTTCTGAGATCTTTTTTTAATGAAAATGGTGTAAAATTACAAACATCCAATGATTTAATTTAGATGAAATTCCTGTTACCATGTATTCTGCTGCAGTATGCTTGTATGCTTTTACACTTCAAAAATAAATTCAAAGGTATTTTTAGTGGCACACAAGAAAACGGGCTAAGCATCACAATTTTCTTCCATTCCTAAGCATCATGACAGTGCTACAGTGGGGCTGGCTAATTATTACTGGTTCTTCTTTTCCCCAGTGTGTTCATCCTGTTGTTGGCATGTGTCAAAAAATACTAGCACAAGTTTTAACTATAAACTCCCTGAAATACTCAGCAATTAGACCATTATCTTCAATGGAAAAAGAAAAAAACAAACAAAAAAAAACCGAATGGGCCTACTCTAGTTGTGATTCTGTTGCTTTTCCAAGTGCTCACACACTGTCTAGCAATTTTTAAGCAAAGGTAGCACTATAAAAACAAGTGTCATTTGTTCTAATTGAGACAAAGAAAAGTCTGTACAATATCACCACTTTATACTGCCCAGGAAACACTTACCTCAGATAAATGACCCTCTGTTCCAAATGAAATATCTTCCATAACCTGTTAGAGATAAATTATTAAGTATATAGTAGATACATGCTATATAAACAGTATGATTTTAATGGAACTTATAAAAACCATATAGCACAATAAAAAGTTATGTAAGCTGAACAACTGCATCAATTTTCTTCACATGCATGAAAGACTTCAATTGAATTTGTAATGGGGCAATGGCAGCCACCCAATACTTAAAACTATATTTGAATATATTTTATTAAAGTCTGCTTTGGCTTCTCACTTAAAACCCACAAGGAATACTGCCTTTAAAACTCAAGGACTAACTATAGATTGAAACAAACTTTTCTATCAAGCTCTTGCAGATCTGTATGCCACTCAAGAGTCTACACACTTTTTTTTTTTCTGTAAGAACCCTGTAAATGATTCTGGGCAGGGAAAATGAGAAACCCAATCAATGTTTCTATTGCTAATTATAGTCAATTCTTCCTTCAAAATTTCCTTCATCTATGAAGTCTATATGAAATTAGCCGAAGTTTCATTGACTGGCTGAGGAGCAAAGAAATTTGATGTTAACATCACTGGGAAATCATTAATAGTGGTCATGCCTAACAGTGTTTTTGATAATAAGCTGAGATAGGGACACTGCTTTGGTATGCACAGACACACACACATATATACAGAAACCCATCTTTAATTCTTCAGAGGCTTAGAAGAAAATCAAGCCCTAACAGTCACAAAAAGTCAAACTACAACTGAAATGGTGGGACACCCTAATTTCATCAACACAGCTATCAGCTGGAAAATACACACTTATATGAGAATTCATATATAGATACACATAATAAATGTGCAAAATCATTAATCTGCCACACAATCACAATTGCTACTGGATACTATTTTCAGCAATCTGAAAAAAAGTTTAAATTTTTCTTGCCTGTAATATTAATTTTCCAATGGTATTTTTACTGCCAAATTACATGTAAACATTAAGCTTACTGAGGTGCTACAATCCCCACCTAAGGAGCTAGCATTTTTACCAGCAGAACTCCACCCCACCTCAGATGCAGCTGAGGGCCACTGTGCTGCACAGCTCCACGTGTGGCTGTTCAGTCAGAGGATCTGACCATTGTGTACAAGCCAGCTGCCTCTTGCCACTGACATCCTTTTTTTAGCTTGGATCAATACAAGGAACATACAAATGCTGACTTTCACTAATGCTTAATGCTGACATTTAAAACTAAGATTAAATTCAAAATTTCCAAATTATTTTCTAAGCTCCACAAATACAGCATTTAATTAAAGCTCAAATGAATGCACAGTTTGTTTAGCTTTCAAAGGGCTTTGTCCTTTACACATTACATGTTTGCCTCCTGGACCACAGGCTACCCCAGTGCACAGTAATCAGTTACAGACTGCTCACAAAGGCTTTCTTGGTGCTTGCTATCACTAAATTCTGAAATATGTTGCATCTTGTTCTGCAATAACTTCTTCTTAATAGCAGACACTGCATTAAACATTATTTTTGTGATGGCCCATTTGGTATCATTTAGACCTCAGTAACTTTTAACAATTTAATCACATGAATGCTTTACAGTTATAGAACATTTTCCAAACACCAAAGTGATCTTCAACCAACCCCAGAACATCATCCCAGCTGGCCAAATTGAAATATGTAAAGAAGAGGAAAAGACAGCAGGCCTTATCCTTATCCCTGTTCTCTACTTGTTTTGTGATGAAAGAGTGAGAATTTAACTACAAACAATTCTGATGGGACAACTACCAAAAATGCTGACTTACAGAAGTTAAAACTACTGAATTTTGGATTTTACCTTGTAACTTTAATCACCTCAATTTTCTTGAAATCTAGTAGGTGTTTCTTTCCTTCATAGTGATTAAGAGGGAGCACTGCACAGCAAGCCAGAGAGCAGAAGAAGAAAAAAGGATAGGTCAGGAACTCAAGCCTGCAGGGGCACACATACCCATGTTCATCAGGTTACTTGCTGTTAGGGAGGTCCCAGCACACACAAATCTCTCAGTTTAGTTATTAATTTAGTTATTTAACTAAATGAATAACTTTATTAGTTATCACTGGTGGTTCTGCTGTTTTTAAAAGCTTTTATAAAAGAGTTTGCTTACACATACATTATCAAGAAGCAAAAAAATAAAGCAAGATATTATAAGGAGTGGAAGAAGCAGGCATTAATGTCTAAAGAGAAATGAAATGCTACTGTATGTTTTAGAAATCACCCAGACATGCATATATGCAACCATGTAGTAATATTCATTGCAATTTCCACCTCACTCAGTTTAAAAGCATGGAATGTTTGTGGGATGAAAACTAAAACCCATCTTTAATTCTTCAGAGACTTAGAAGAAAATCAAGCCCAAATTGTCACAAAAAGTCAAACTACAACTGAAATGATGGGACGCCCTGATTTCATCAACACAGCTACCAGCTGGAAAATACACACTTATATGAGAATTCAAGAATCTCTATCAAATACATTAGGCAAGCTGACTTCCACATGACTGAGGGTAGCAATATTGTCTGCAACTTTGCTCCTGTGTGTTTTTAATGCTATAGCCTAATGAGCTATTTCAATTGAGAGAAGCACATCTTATTTAAGTAACTCAGAGTAATTCACAGGATGATTTTTGCTAGCCCCACTTTATTTAGTTTTCACCAAAACATCTTTAATGATGTTTCAACAAGTTGAGCTTCCAATGCATCTGATTTTCATCCCTAGTTAACAGTCAGTTTTATAGAGGAAGCCTGATTTACTGAATTATTTTGGGATGCCAGTCTACCACATAAAAACTGGGGGAAAAAAATCAGTAGCATCTTAGAAAACACAGTTATGAAAACTATAAAATAACTGTTGACAGTTAATAAACCTGTGCACGCATGAGAGTAAAATAACAAACTTTCAAAGAATTTATACCTTATATATTTTTGTACCAGAACATATCATATTTTATGATTTAGTGAGGATATTTAATTAAAAATGATAAATGGCCCCTCTGCAAAGGAGTATCTGAGGATCTATGAGAAGGGCTCTTTCATCTATTTTGCTTTTCTTATTATTGTTATGTTTCTTACTTATTTTTGTTTGGTTTTTTTTTTGTTTGTTTTCTAAGGAAACCTATAGAGTAAGATACAGTTATATACAAGAAAACTATTCATAGTACACATCAAGAAAACCAATATTCACCTGGCACTAGTGCTTAGCTCTATATGACACAATAAATAACTGGAGAGCTTCATTTATAGAATTCCACTGTAAAATAAATCAATCACCTGGGGATGAAATATTCCCAAGGCATATATGCATATATGTTATTATCAGCCTTTCATATATTGTCTTGAAGTAATTAATTCAGTAATCTCTAAGTACAAAGAACATGACTCTCTCCTTCTGTTTCAGTGGCCAGTGGTGCTCTCTAGAAATTCTCTGATGGTGAAGAGAGGTTGTGACACAGTTGAACAGAAAAGTCATTCCAGAAACATGGCAACCACAGCAAGCTACCCCTCTCACAGGGGCACCACAACCTTGTTAAATGAAATTTATCACTTGCTGATAAATGGCTATGAAAAGGTTCCCTGCTAATGGCAAAGGATAAGATTTTCCATGGAAGTCTTATAAGCGGCTAAATTGAGAGACTAAGCACCACATCACTATTTTTCTATATTGAATTATTTTCAAATAAAAAATACACTGCCATATAACAGGGCATTTAAATGCTTCAGAAGTGGTTTGTTTTTCAAGTCCATTCACAAATCAAGATGGATCTTTGCTTGCACTTCAACATGTTCAAAACCACAAGTTAGCATGATTTGTGTCAGGTTTTTTCGTTTGTGTCAGGTTTTTTAGTTTGCTTTTATATTCTGCCTTGTGATGAACTAATAAGAGATGTTAGGGAATAACCTGTTATGGCTCTTCTCTAAAAGATTAGATACTGCCTGTCACTGCAAATACAGTTTCCTCTTCCATTCAAGATGTGGAGAACCATCCCTCAAGCTCCACATATCTCTCCACAGCCAGAAGTCACCTCACTTCAGCTGCCCATCTGTCACTCTTGGATAGTGAGGTTGATTTCCAGTGAAACAATCTGGGCTTGCAGGGGTGAAAGAGGTGGTAATCTATAGCACAAATATCAGGAGTGCTACAGAAACAATAGCAAAACAAAATCCCAAACTCTCCAGAGCCTCTAAGCACTTTTGACACTGGAGCACAGCTTTCTACAACCAACATATTATGTTATTTCATAACCAACCAATATTATTTCAGCAGACTCATAAAAAAATACAGTAAGGCAGTGATGCGGTGGAATCAAAGCCAAGCTGACCGTTTCTAATAAAAACGTTCTCTATGTGAAGCCAGTATTTTACCCTGGGAAAAGACTGCAAGGACTACTGAAGCCCAACATAAAACCAGAATTTTACTAACAAGAGATTTTACAGTCAGGTCTGATTTTCACTAAGACTCAGCCAGTATAAATGCAAAATTAGGCATCAGATTTCAGAGCAATGCACAGTTCAATGGCTCTTAACATCAAATGCAATTAAGCATAATTTAAATTTTTCTCAACTTAATTCTATGGTAATAAAGCTAACAACTGCTGTTGGAGGGTCTTTTTGTCACAGTGGTGCTGTTGGGTGATGAAGCTTTTTTAACAGCTTGTTTACCTAGACAGTACAGTTAAAAGACTATCAGATACTGCTTAATTTTTCAAGCAGGGATAACATTCCAGATCAAAACATGAAAACTTGAAATAAATTTGTCAAGCTTTCTAAGCAACATGATTTTTTCCTCCTTTCAATAATTGTTGGATGCTGTAAGCCTATTAGCATCTTTTAGCTCAGAAGCCTTTGACCATTGCACTAAGGGAGGAAAACTAACTAACTCTTCATGTCAGCTAAGAATGGTCCAGGCTAACAAGTCAGCAGAACCAACTCAAAATGAAACTTGTCAGTGAGATGAGGAACAACTCATAATTTTGGTTAAATACTTAATAATTTTTCCTTTAAATCCTGATGTATACTCTGCATTTATTGCTTGAATAATTTCTGTATTTTAAAAACACTGATGGTAAAAGCAAAAAGGGTTGAGGGACTTCTTAGAAGCCAATAAGATTTTACTCATGTCCCAGATTAGAAGCTAGATGTTAAGTTCATACTTAACCTGCCCTGCTGACCCATCATAAAGATTCAACTCCTCCTCTCAAAAGGAAAACCAGCAATATTACTTGAAATGCAGCTTCAGACTATTTCAGATACCTCTTTCAGCTCCCTGTGTTTGGGGCAGGAAACAGCACCCCACTCTGTGCCCTTCAGAAAGTGACCTTCTTTTCTTTTTTCAGAATCAAGTGGGGCATCAGCAGTCATCTCCATCTCATCCATTTGGTTCTCTTCTTCTTCGAAAACACAGCAACTGGCTTCTTTCAGATGAAACCCTCGGATCAACAGCTGACAGGCCTCCAAGTCAGCTTCCCACACTCTTTGGAGCAGCTGGCTCCCGCAGCTGAAATAAAAGCCAAAAGAAAATAAAACTGCAGTTCAGGGAGAATAGTTGCTATTTCAAGTAACACTTGGAGTAACTGCTTATTATAGACAGAAAAATAAAAACAACCAAAAAACCCACCAGTACCTCAAATACTCCCACAGAGATAACACTGCTATATCAAACTGAAAAGCAGTAAAATTATTGCCCTATTACAAAGTGGATGATAGAAAAACCTCCTTGGGTTAAGATGTTGCTTCCAGCTGTACAGCAAACACTGGCTACAGGAGACTTCCCTCTGTTCAGACACAGGTTCAGGGGTCTTGCCATCATAACCAGAGTTTCCTTCACAATATCAGATACACAGGCCTGGCATCCTGCAGCCGTGTGGCTTTCCTGAATTTGACGTAGAAGTTCATGTGTGAACAATCACACTACTAACTGCATTTAAATCAGGTCTAGTTTTTGAAAAACAGGTACACTAAATTTCTTACTAGACTAAAATGTGCTTACTTCAGTACTGCTGAATCAGATTAGACTAAACCACAATAGTCTTCCTCTTTTCAGTCTCATATTTTGAGTGTTGTCATTATCTCTTACTTAATGTGCTTTGGTTTCCTTCTACTTTGTTAGGCCACCAAAACAAAAACAGAATTCAAAATACAAAATTTCTATAAACTTTACATCCATTAATCATCTCTCAAACATGTACATTACAAATAGTGCTCCTGAGATCATCCAAAAGTTATTCCACCTGAAATAAATGGGAATTCTAAGTGTAGATAGATTTTGAGAACTGAATACTAACATCACACTGTTTGTAAGTGATGTGGTCACATCACCATTTAATATGTGTTGTCTCTAAGGAACCAAATGAGCAGATTGCTTGCTAAAATATAGTAGATCAGTGGCAGAGCCTGGGATAGGACTGAGAAGCAATTATTTCCCATAGCAATACACACTTCCAGACAGATTTCAATGCTAATAACCACAGTATTTTTTTCACTGTTCTTTTTCAAATTATATCATTTACTATATAATTGTGAGAAATTATAAGTGACTTAAAAGAAGAAAAATAACCATTTGAATTTAACTTTTCTGACAAAATTAAATACCACCTTATCTTTTATCCCAAATTAAGGAATAAGGAGCTGCACTTCTCACAATGAGTTCATTAATCTAACACAAGTATGTTTTTAACTCCACAAGATGCCAAGCTGTAAAAATCACACAGTAATATACTGAGACTGAGAGCAAAATCAGGCTTCAGAAGCTGAGCTGTTTGATCTGTGCTTAAGAGTCAGTATATATGTTTATTGAAGGCATAATGCAGCATGGGGTCCACAAATTGGTCTCTCCCAAGGAGTTCAAAGTATCACTAATTAGAAAGGGAAAAATGCTTCACTGGATTACATGTCTGTGTTCCATCCAGGTAGCATTTCATTTACCAAGCCAGAAAAATAAAATAACCCCCACTGTTTCTCTACTTGTCAATCACATTATCATAGTTACACAGTCAAAACATTTTCCTGCAGACATACATAAGCCCATTTATTTGCTTTTTGAAAATGTTTGTTTGCATCTATATATGGCTTATTATTAAAAGCTAAAAAAAAAACCACTCTAGAGAGCTAAATCAGAATGTCCAAAGGATAACTTGTTTTGGCTATTTAATTTAATGAAGAGCTTTATTGACAAAATTAGGGCAGAGATGGTGATGTATGCAGCATTTCTCAGTGGGGAAGATGAACAGCATGTATAACAGTACAGCTTAATGGTGCCTGGGCTGCTGTTATTTGGCCATGACTCAGGGCATTGGCCAATGTGGTTTTGTCTGTGTCTAGGTTTTAAATGCATTTTAGTAATAGCATTTACTGAATCTACTGCTAACAGACGGCTTTTATTTGAAGGCCAGCATTGTTTTATCATGGTATCTGTAAAACTCTGATACATCTTGAACTAAGATGCTAAGATGTTAGGCTGAACTTTTCAACCAAAATCAGTGAATGCACATACACTGGGATAATCTGAACAGATTTAAGTCCAACATATCAACCTTTTAGTCTGTATTTTGGAATTCAGTGTGTTGAAGCATTTTTCAAACATGCTTATGGAATGAAAATTACTTTGAAGCTGCAAGTAGCTAACACAGAGACACATTCCAAATAATTATTAAAAATTATGTTTTCCCCAGCATGCAAAAAACTTTAGCTTTTATGTCTTTTGCTAAAATTAAATAGAATTTCAGTGTTTGGTTTATTCACGTTCAATTAAAAGTTCATTGCAGTCTCTGTGAAGCCTCCATAGATGGCTGTATTGAACACAGTGAGATTTTTCAGGTATGAAATGTTTCAAAATGATGGATCGAGTCTGGATGAGGTTTTACATTATTCCCATACTTATAAATATTTCATGATGTATCAACACCTCTAGGTGCTATATGCCTGCCTGTATATTACTATCAAAGTGGCATATGTGGCAAGTTCAATGAAGGTGTCTGGAACAATCTGCTGGAATCCACAACAAATCACAATCCATCAGCCATTTCCATAGACCCAGCGACACAAAACATACCTTAATCACCTACTGATTCTGAACTGCCAAGAGTCAGAGTGCCAGGCTTTGTACAAACGCCAAACACATTACAGCCATGGCCTTTTCTCAAAGCAACTTTTATCTTTCAAACAATCAGCAAGAGCTAGGATGGGGATGTTCAAAGAAACACAGTGGACTGGACATGGCATGTTAGTTACAGTACAACAGTTTAATTAGTTACACAAGTGATTAATCGAAGTGGTGCCAAGAACACAGAGGCATCACAGTGAATGAGCATTTTAAGGGTTTGTGGGAGGACAATGAAACATGTCCTTGGATATCCAAGATCTCCATCCCTTCCCAAAGGAATCATGTAAGAAAGGTAAGAGATGCTAATATAACAATACAGTGGGCAAGTGATTAATATCGATGTGGCTTAACATCTACAGAGGAGAGTCAGTCTTTTCTTATTAAAAAAATAAAGTACTGAGTAGGGAGTTAAAGACTGAGCAGCCCTGGCACTGGAAGATAGTAGTTTGTTTTGATTATACAGAACAGAAGGAGTCAATGGAGAAAAACAATGTGAAATAGAAAAAAAGACAGAAGTGCTCATTTTGAATGAATGAGAGTAGTGAAAGGCTACTTTTGTCAAGTAAGGGCCAGGGAAATTGATGGTGAAGTAAGTGAGATGCAAGACTCTACATGAGTAATTTTTCAGCTGCATGGATAGCTGGGACTGGTTTTACCTCAAGGATACTGTGCAGAAAGAATCTACAAGAGCAGGCCTAAGCTGACTTGAAGAATGGCTGAGACATCCACAGCAACACGAAAGGACGCAGCAGACAGAATCCTGCATTAGGTCAAGTTGATGATGATGAAAGGGCTGTCAGAGAAACAGGGCTGTTTATGGACAGGAGGAAATGGATGTGGAACAGAGAGGCTTATCCTTGAGTTCTAATGATAAAGTGGCAATTGACACTGTAATTGCAGTTGCCTTTACTGAGGCTCAAGCAGTTGTATGGGAAACATGACCAGGGTAAAAGGAAACTAGAGGATATTTCCCCTCTACTTGTGATGTTGGGTGAAATTCATGTCAAGAGACATAACCAGCAAGGATTCTCTCTCTTTTGAGCTCCAAAAAACATTGTTTCTCTGCCTTTTGGCGAGATTCTGGGAGGTATCTATGGGGGCTCTCTGTAGCTTTCAGCACTACATTATTCTAAGGCTATTTATAGTGCTAACTGGAACTACGAGAACATGACTTTTCTTTACTGAGGGCTCTGCATACATACAAAAGGCACATTCAGTTCCTGAACATTGTAGTCTAAATGAAAACATGCCTGTGTAAAAATAGTCAAAAGATTTTATATTAAACTCTATAAAAAAACCAAAAAACCCAAAACAAACAAAAACCCCCACAAACAAACAAAAAACAAACAAACAAAAAAAACCAACAAAAAAGACAAACAAAAGAAAAGCCAAACCCACATCACCAAAACCAAACCAAACCAAAGTTCAGCAAAATGTCCTCAAAAGCATAGTGGAATCAAGACAGGAAGATGCCACTGCTTCTAAATCTCATAATTTATAGTTTTCAGGAATGCCCCTCAGTGAGTGAGTTGTTACAAGTGGTTTATAACACACTGAGGTCAATACTATGTGTTGATGAGATGATGTTGCTTATTTCAAGGGAAATCCTGTAAGAACCCTCACACTGAAAGCCAAGAGAATGAGACTGAAGCTAAAACTATTCAGAAATGGCATAATCAAAAGGTAACTTAGGAGGAGAGATCAACCACCACTAAGAAGAGATATTCTAGATTTCTTCCTTTTAATAGATGAGCCACATTAAGGTACAGATTCAGGAAACCATGTGCTTATCTTCTCCCAGTACTGGAACATATTTTAACTCTGCATTCACTGACCCTAAAAGTAGTTTTCTCTGATAAAAAAAAAAAAAAAAAAAAAAAGCAAACAAAATGCAACAAAAGTAGTCTGGCAGAAACAACAGGGATTTTCATTATGACAATTAAAATGATTGGAAACTTTTGAGGCTTGCATAAAATGGCAATGTGAATCAAAAGACTTTGTTCAATATCCCCATTCTTTATTAAACTATTGTACAAACTAGGGAAAGTTTTTCTATATTTTGGTCACTTGCTTCTATTTATATTTTGCACCACAGGGGAGGAATGAGCTCTTCTCACTCAACATTTAACTATGACTTTGTTTCTTTTTCTGAAGGCAATAGCTGTGCAGTGAACAAAGGAAGCAAACAAAAGAAAGTATCTTCTAATGATACTTAGAGGATAAAAGGCAATGGTTGCTCCACTCTTAGCAAAGCCTCATCTTTTTATTTGATTAATTATATTAATTCACAGTCATGCATTAATAACTCTTCTTATATTTAACAAGTATTTGCTACTTTAGAAATATGCTTTACTTCTCTTTTTCATTAGAAAAAAAAAAAAAAGAAAGAAAGAAGT